GTGGGTGGGCGGGGCGAGGCCCACGTGCGACGTGACCAATGGAAGCTGGACAGCCTCGCTYTCGGCTCCAATGAGAGGCGGCGTGGGGGGGCCGCGCTCTCGGGATTGGTGGCAGCGCCGGAAGTGACGCGCTGTGGGCGCCAAAATAGAACGTGAGGGAGCGGCAGGGAGCCGCTGTTCCCTTGAGGGGCAGCTCTACGGTGCCGCGGGCGGGACAAAAGACCTCGCGCGTCGCGGCCGTGTCGCCGCGCCCGCCATTTTGTGCCCTCAGCCGCCCCGAGCTCCGTGAGGCGGCCCGGGATGAGCAAGGAGCCGCGCGGCAGGGCGGGCAGCCGCGGAAGGGGCTTCCCGGCGTGGCGCGGCGGGTGGCGCGGCGGGTGGCGCGGCAAGGGGCAGAGCGTGGAGTGGAGGAGCAAGGTGGAGCACGGTGAGCGCGGAGAGCGAAAGGGGCAATAGCGAACGAAAGTTAAATAAAAGATCCAACGTCCTTAACGAGAACAAAAAACAACCGAACTAAAGGAATGGTTCAGTGTCCGCCCCGGTTTAATCCTCGCTTTAATGTTTTCCAGCAAAACCTCAGCTAATTCAGGCAACGTTGGACCAGTTTGTTCCATATAAAGGCTGGAAACTTTATTTCTCTGAAGGTATTTCYAGACCCCATTTACTTATAATATCTTTTTTTTTTCCGCTCGGAATTGCTTATAATAGTAGTGGGGATAAATGATGCAGCTGAGGTTTAGTATATGAAAGTAAATATTCAGCAGAAATTTTATGGCATACTGTAATCTCCATGGGCTACAGAGTGTGAAAAGATRATGTAAAAAATATATTTTTAAACCTGGCCCGCTAGCCGTGTAAAACCCATGCTCCGCCCAAAACAGGAGTAAAGGTACCTTGGTCAACTTTTCAAGATTTATTTATTTACTTACTTCATTTATTTATCTTTTAAATGATCTATTCATGTGAAATTGTACCTCAAAGTCAAAGGAGCTGTTATAGTCTTTGTTGGTGTTATTATATTGAGGCAGCTTTGGTTTAATTGCTCATGCCCTGTCACCTAAGGCAAACTCCRGTCTTAGGAAGCTGGCCTAAGGTGGAAGTATGTCCCCTTCCTCAGCTTTGGGGTACCAAAAATAGAAAAACTAATGGGAGAGAAGTTGCTTTTTTTATATATTTTCYGAAATAAAAAATAGTGTTGCCAGTTACTGATGTAGTATGGTTTTATCTAGCTTATGGTGACAAGTCTCCTTCTGTGCTGAAGACTCAAGCCTTTGAGAAGTTTTTCATTCAACGCATTGAGCTGTATGACAAGGTAAAAAAAATACTACTGCCAATTATATAGCATTAGATAATCTTGCCTTTTTTCAACAAAAAGAAAAACAATGAGTTTTTTAACGTCTATTATATATAATTATGCTRTGCATATATGTACATAAATCATAATTTATTGTATATAAATAACAGTTATGTATTGCATATAAATAATATATTCAGTATGTAAGTGACACTATGTATAATGTACATTATATAATATATGTAATTATATGTGTTTTTATATAGAATATGCAATCTATATGAATATAAAATAATTTCATAAGCACTAGAAGACTGTTTTATAACTTTAAATGTTTCRCAGGATGAAATAGAAAGAAAAGGAAGTATTCTGGTGGATTATAAAGAACTGATTGAAGACAGGGAACTAACTCAATCAATACCAGATATAGCTACCGAATTAAGGGATATGCCTCAGAACATACTGCAATGCATGGGCTTGGCAATTCACCAGGTAAATATGAGCTGCTGGTAGATAAAAGCTGAGGCCCTTCCACCTCCTGTGAAAAAGAATCAGTGAGACTTAAAGGCAATTATAGTTTAAAAATGAATATATTTTTCTAATTTTGAATAAACAGTATGTATTTGAAAARAGAGGAAAAAATAAGAAAAAGGAACTCTTCCTTCTCTACATTTTCTGCACACCCTTCAAAATCATATTTTGTCTTGATATGTTTTGCTTGTTCACTTTCCAGCTAGTTGATTAAGCAAGGGTCTAATATAGGAAATAGAATTTCATATTGCATAAGTTTGATTAATGAAGAGAGTTACCTGAGCTGTTTGTTCCACCTCACACAGCAGAATGAAGGCTGGTATGTGAGTGGGGAAATCCTGTTTGTGTCCTCTGCCTCTTTAGAAGCAGCACTTCCCTGCTTTTTGACAGMCTAGTCCTTTTATTTATTTATTGTATTGAGATTTTCAATTTCATTCTAAAGAGGTGAGGACTAAAACCATTCAGAGCAGGAACATACTCTAGCTGGGGTTGCTAGACAGCAGACTGCTCCTGAGACTGCAGCAGGTCTAATAGTAGTCAATGGTAATCAAACTTAATAGCAAATTGAATCGATACTGTAAAATTGACTACATTTGTGTCTTTCTGCTCTGCCTAGGTGTTAACAAAGGACCTCGAAAGGCACGCTGCTGAGCTGCAGGTGGAAGAAGGATTGCCCCTTGTTGGAGAACCTATAATAAATGTGCCACACATCCATGCCAGGTAATGGGTGTTGTGTGCTTATTTGGCTGTTTGCAGGAAGGTTGAATTGCTTCTTGTGTAGTGGTTGTCAGTACCCATGAGCTGAAAGCTGGCTGGTTATTTAGTTAGTTTTGATAATTTGTGAAGCTGTGTTTTGGCTTACAATGAGGGGGAGAAAAAAGGCAAAATAAACTTTCTTCTGAGCTGAAGAACCAGCTGTTGTTGTAAGCAGAGAATTATGAAAAACTGCAATAGTAGTTGATTTAAAAATGGAGAAGTGAGTATCAGTTTATGCTGCTTAATGGAGAAGTTGATTAGGTGTGAACCCAAAGTAGAATTGATAACACTTATCGTTCCCTGTATGGGTGTTCTGATGGTGGTGTGAGGATGCATTCTTTCATATTAGCTTAAATCTGTTAGAGGGTTACCTGTAGAACTTCTCAAGAATATAAGGTGGTGTTAATTAAACTTTGTTTTGAAAGGAAATACATGAAGTTAAGGCAATGCTAATTCTGCATAAGCATGTTTTACAAGAATCATGGTAATTACTATCATCACTTTGAGATTGTGACCTCCTTAGGGAACTTGGAAACAAATTATTAGCGAGGGTGAGCTTAGCTGTCTGTGGAGTTGGGAAATCATGGAGTGTTGAGCCTTGGGAAATGAGGGACTGGCAGTTTCAACTCTATTTCAGTAGACCGGATATGGGAGAGCAAGCATCTTCTGCCACAGCAGGTGGATTTAATTAAACTCTTGGATTCCTCAGACACTGGTATATTTTAATCTTTGCATTGTTATAAAACTGCGCTCTTAACCAGTGGAAAGCATCTAGGAAAAACTGTCCAGGAGAGAACCTGAGAGCTTGCATATATCTAAGGGAAAGTTACGTGCCGTTATTGTGTATTTTAGGAGAATCAAAGTGCCATGCTCATAAAAGAGATGTTAGGTGTTTTTTTCATACAGAATATAAAGAGGTTTGCTTTGTCCTGTGTGAATAAAGGACTGGACCGCCAGGACTGAAAATCAAGGGAATATAATTGAAAGCAACTTACTTTATATAGTGATTACACAGGCACTATAGATCATGTGGGTTTGTTTAATGTAGGGTTTTTTTAAATCTCTGTATTTGAAGTTGCTTGGTTCTACAGCTTGTATGGGGCTGAAGTGTGTTCTGAATGGTTTTGCTAGGTCTTCTTGGGCTTGAAGATCACTTTGTTATGCCCCTGAAACATGTAAATGCAGCCTTCGCTTTGGAGTGCAAGCAAAATAAGTCTTTGATCCTTCAATGTTGCAAGTCCTGAGCTCTGGTTTTAAAGTGGAATTAGAGACAGTTATATGTGACTATAGGTTATTTTCCACTGTATTATTAGTCCGAGATGCTTATGGGTGGGAGGTACCTGTGCTGTCACCCTGTGTGTGTAAACTTTACAGCTCCTGGAGTGTAACACCTGGAGTAGATTAGGCAGATTTCAAGAACAGGGATCAAATCCTGTGCCATGGGTCTGTAGCTAAAGTCACTGTCTAATTTTGTTCGGATCACTGCTAATAACTTGCATGTAAACATCTGTGTTCATTTAAGGATAATGAGCTCTCAGAATATGAATGCTTTGTTTTTATGCAGAGTGTACAACTATGATCCAATAACTCAGCTGAAAAACGTTCGGGCCAACTGCTATGGGAAATACATYGCCCTGCGTGGCACCGTTGTGCGTGTCAGTAACATTAAGCCTCTCTGCACCAAGCTAGCCTTTGTGTGTGCCACGTGTGGAGACGTCCAGGGTGTTCCTCTGCCTGATGGGAAGTACACTCTTCCAGCTAAAGTAAGTTTAAATCATCTAAATTGATATTTTTCCCTTTTGCTTTTCTGTCACGTTTGGTAAAAGCAACAAAGCAAAACTTACTAYGTGTTTTGGTATTGCAGTACAACTTTATTATTGGGAGAGAGCAGAAAGAAACTGCAGAAACTTGCACAAATTCAGGAAAATCTTTATTACATTTCACCAGTCGCTTCTGGCCTTTCCACCTCTTTGTGGTGGTTTTCGTGATTAGCTTTTTGTGTGGCTTTGCTTAGAGCTTCCTGTTTTAACTTCTGAATCCAGATAAACAATGAAATTACTAGTCAGGATTGTGGTCATTTTTATGTAAGCTGATGTGCCCAAGTGAACAACCATCTCCTCTGGCAAATCTTGGTGTTGTGGYGAGTAGGTGGTGGTTGATCATTAAGGAGATAATGCAGAGAGGCTGCATTTGCTGTAATAGGTAGGAATCAGAGCTTAGGTGTCTGTGCTGGGTGATTCTTTATTAATTACACATTTTCTAATGTGCATTCTAGTTTAACCTTTTTTTTTCTCCCTGCAATATGCAATAAATTTTTAATGGGTTGATTCAAAAAAAAAAAATTAATTACTATGCTTGATTTAAAAGTGGAGGGGGAAATGCTACCAAAAAGATTGGTTAAAGCTGAGAATGAGTTGGAATGAATTCTGTTACAGTGCCTTGTTCCTGAGTGCCGGGGCCGGTCATTCACACCAGACAGAAGCTCTCCTTTAACCACTACAGTGGACTGGCAGTCTATTAAGTAAGCACTTTAATGCATCTCTCTACTTTGCACAAAAAAATGTAAGTCAGTAGAGYAGCCAAAAGCCAAAGGGTTGCTCATTATATGTTGTGTAACTTCAAACACCTTGTTCTTTTCCCATAAGTAATACTAGAGAAAATTGCTTCAAAGTGGTGGTTTTCTTGGAGAACTTGGATACCTCAACTACTGCTCCTACTCAGTGCATCAGTTTCTTCATCAGATCTTGACCAACTGCATTGTGAAATGTCAGTTCAGGCTCTATGCAGCTTTTCTGTTTTGGGTTACATCTATTATTCAGTAATTGCTTTTAATGAACTACGAGTTATGTTTGTTAGCTACAACAGCTGAGCCGAATGAACTGAATATAGACTTAAAGGTTAAAAATTTCAATTTGCAGTAATATTGATTTGTACCTCAAATCCTGGATGCACACTTAATAGGAGGAAATAATATTGGGGCTGCTGTTCATCTGCTTTCTGTGTCTAATAGAATGAGTATGGCTCAGACTGAGATCTTGATTCTGGGTAATGTTCTGCTGCTGCCACAGAAATTGAAGTGCAGGAAGGGGGCAGTGGAGCTGTTTTTCATTGCTTAGCATATAATTTTTCATTCCTAATATAGCTGGATAATATTATGTTCYGTTTGTGTTATTTCCTGTCTGTCCACCTAGCTTATTGCAAGTGGCATGTCAGCTTGGCAGAAGATGGACTCTTTATTTCTATTTCTTGCATTGAGATTGTGTAAATTATTGTGTTCTGTTTTTACAGTGTGTACTTTCTTTAGTAAGCTTAATGATAGCACTGGAAAAAAATGACAGCAGCTCTAGAGGGTGCTGTTTAATGCAGCTTCTTTAGGGAAGTTTTACTGTGAGATTAAAGTGCAGATCCCAAACTGGAATCACTGGAATTTGTCAGTTGTTACCTTTTTACAGTTATGCCAAGTTCCTGTTCTTGCAGTGGGCTAAGGGAGTTTCTTGAGTTTTGCAGAGTTTATTCTCCTATCAGAATTGCTGGTTGCCTTCAGCAGAACTGTAATATTTGACCATTAAGCTTCATATACAAAATAAAATGATCTCATGCACTGTATTTATTCCTGTGTGAATGTGCTCATCAGAGCTAGGAAATTTAAACTCCAAATTTGATGAATGTTTCTGGAGTTTGTCATTGCCTTTCATGGGTTTATATGTAATAAGTACATACTGTTTAAAGCTTTAGCTGAAAAAAGACTCCATATTTCCAAATTTAGTGTTGCTATTTCAAGCCATTATGAGGGTGTTTTATTGCTGTCTCCCTTTTCAGTAGAGAAAGGATTGGCCTGGAGTGCACGTGTACAGACTTCTTGCACCAAAACTGAAGTGGAAATGGTGGATGTGGGCTAATTCCTCATGTATTGCAGGGTGCAGGAGCTCATGTCCGATGATCAGCGCGAAGCAGGTCGAATCCCTCGCACGATAGAGTGTGAACTGGTRCAAGATCTTGTGGACAGTTGTGTCCCGGGAGATATGGTCACCATTACAGGGATTGTTAAGGTGTCAAGCACTGAGGAAGGTAAAATAAACCATCTCAAAGCATCCTTTTCTCTGTGAGGACTTTTTCTTACTGCTTACACAGYAACGTAAAAACAGCCTTACTTTGAGCTCCTGGAATTGTAAATGCTTTAAGCATGTGTTTCTTTAGGAACTACCAAAATTCCATGAGTTTCTTGGAAAAGGAAGAAGCAGTGCCTCTCAAGTAATAATTATGATCCTGAATCTAAATGTCTAGCACTAACATCGAGTAAATGAGTGATTAAWGTCTTTTTGCCCCCCTAAGGGGAGGAGGACGACTTATTTCTAGAAGTCTTAGTGAGACAAGTTACCTGTTTACACTCTTTTATGAACCTTTTAAACTGCCATGCTGCTGCAAAGGCATGTTACCCTTTTCAGCTTATTTCTCTTTGGGGAAGTGTTTTTGATGCCTTCTTTTTTTTTCCACAATCAGTAAGTACGTATTCCAAACAGCTATTACAGAATATGCTGCAGCAACCTGCAACTGTGGCTTTCTGTGACCCTGCATTCTCTGTTTAGTAACCCTTCTGTTCAAGTTACAGGAATATTAGTTAAGGTACATGTTTAAATCTTCTACTCTGTAGATTCTTTTTGTAAATATTAAAGAATTTTTTTTTTTTTTTGCATATGACTCTTTGTTTGACTAAAATTAAGAACTCTTGGATCTTTTTCTGGAAGAAAATAGTCTTATGAAACAGTGATTATGAATTAAATGCATATGAGATTTTGTATATGTATGTGTATACACACATATACGTATATATGTGGAGAGGGGTGTGTGTCTCATTCAAAAGGGCAAAATACTTTACCATACACCTGAGTGAACTCAAAAAATGCCATTAGAAGATTTTACTTTGCATTAATTTTTGAAAATAGAGATATTCACATATATAAAAGCAACTTTTATTTTGCACATGGCCATACTTAATATTTCTGAATTATGCTCAGCTGCTTGTCAGTAACCTCAGTGCTTACAGATTTAAAAAAAAAACCCTTCATTCTTTGTCATCTCTCTAACAGGAGCTTCTAAAAATAAGAATGACAAGTGTGTGTTCCTGTTGTACATCGAGGCAAATTCTGTCAGCAACACTAAAGGGCAAAAAGCCAAGAATTTTGATGATGAGTCTTTTCAAAGAGCATTCATGGAATTTTCTCTTAAGGACCTTTATGCCGTTCAAGAAATTCAAGCTGAGGAAAATCTGTTCAGGCTCATTGTGAAGTAAGTTGTGTCACAGTAACTTTCTAGCAGCTAATCTGATATACTTTGAATTATGATATACTACACAAGTAACAGGCATGTAGTATAGAGATTTAGCAAGTATTGAAAAGAAAGTATTGCTGCAGGGAATGCAGAGTAGGGAAAACTGAGGATATTGGAGCTTTGCAAGGGGGTTAAGCATAGAGGGAAGTGAGGAGTATTTCAGTTCAAGTCTGAGATGGAAAGCTGTAACGAAAGATACATGGATTTTGCTTCTTATTGAGCAAAATTCAACTCATATGCATGGTTTTATCCTCCTATCCAGCACAGGAAAGAGATGAGAGAGCTAAGCAGGGGGTGTGCCAGAYCCTCTGAGCAGTGAGTGTCCTTCAGAACCTCTCAACTGCGATCGCAGAATGCCAAATTATAGCACCTTTAAGGGGAAGCTTATGGGGGTTAAGGGTAGCTACTTGATAATGATAAGAGTAGGTGCAGCAACTGGCAGGAAATTTGTTCTCCTCTGTGTTTGTGCAAACTCAGATGAGAGGCTTTTCTCCTTCCCGTATCAAACATGTCTGCTTATCCAAAAATGTCAGGAAGGGTGGTAACATGGGAAATATCACAGCCTACTTTTAGAAATTGTAATTTAGAAGTAGTAGTAATTTAGAAGTAGTAGTAATTTAGAAGTAGTAGTAATTTAGAAGTAGTAGTAATTTAGAAGTAGTAGTAATTTAGAAGTAGTAGTAATTTAGAAGTAGTAGTAATTTAGAAGTAATGCTATATGCTTGTAAGTGAGATAGGGTGATTATTTAGTAGTAGTTTAAGGTCTATATTATTGCCATGTTCTGAGGTGCTTTGTTTTTCAGCTCTCTTTGTCCTGCTATCTATGGCCACGAGGTAAGTAAATTCACAGCTCTGCTTATAGCTTAAGTTTTAARTTTTTGCTGTGGCAAGTGCATAATCTCCTAAGGGATTTTTAAAGCTTGGCTGTAGATGTGGTGGTGGGCAGGGTGTGTTTACGAGTGACTTTTCATGCTTGTACATGAATTGAATGAAACTGCCAAAGCTTTTTATCTGTTGGAAGCATCTGAGGGATTTTCAGGCCTCCCATCCAGTGGGAAAAGACTGTTATGGCTCATTTTAGGAAGCCATTAGTTGCCGTGATGAAATACTTAATTCATTTTGGTACATACTGCTGCAGATTGTGAAAGCAGGTTTGGCGTTGGCCTTAYTTGGAGGATGTCAGAAGTTTGTGGATGACAAGAACAGAATCCCAGTCCGAGGAGACCCACATGTCCTGGTTGTTGGAGATCCGGGATTAGGGAAAAGTCAGATGTTGCAAGTATGTCTTAATTCATTACTACTGTCTGTGATGGTTTTCCTCTCATCCTTTGTTACCTTGTCTTGTAAGCACAGTATCGTGCAAACAATCTTTATAAATCTTTACTAATTATGAGTGATTTTCCATTTAATTTAATTCTATTTCCCTTAATTCCATTCCGTTAATTCCATTTAATTCAAGTRAAGCTAGTAGTCGGTCCCTCAGATAAACCTGGAGATGTTGCTCCTCTAAATCAAAACTTTTATAAGAAATATCCAAAGGAGAAAAGCAAAGTTGTGTAGTACTTGCATTTTTCAGTAGCCAGTGCTCTTCACATATTTTTGGTACCAAACAAATAGCCAGGTTGTATGTTTGCAATTCGGTGACAGATAACGTGTCCCCAAGCATTCCAGTACACTTAACAATGTCTGTGTTGTGCCTGAGTTCCATAGTTGTGAATAACGCAGTGGACATGACTATGTACAAGTACAATGCCCARAATTATCCCTGCTGTTTTGCCTGAGCTTGCCTCCTGGAGCTGCAAGGAGTGTGTGCTTCCCTTCTAGGCAGTGTGTAACGTGGCTCCTCGAGGCGTCTATGTTTGTGGCAACACTTCCACCAGCTCTGGCCTCACTGTTACGCTGTCCAGAGATGGGGCATCGGGAGATTTTGCCTTGGAAGCTGGTGCTTTAGTGCTTGGAGATCAAGGTAACGCCTCTAACCTTAGAGGCTTTGCATGGTGCACGTGTGTTTATGTCCAGATTTTCCTTCAGATTGAAACTTGAATTGAGCTTTTATCCCCTTAATTTATTTTCTTCCTCCTGCTCCCACAAGTAAAGGGTCTTAAACATCTTGCATTCTTGTGAATTTAAAGTGTACATCTGAAGCACGAACCTGGCTTTCCACATCTGGGAAGTTCTGAGCTTCTCCAGTGACTTCTTTGAAGGTGTCTCCTTCCTCCATAAGGGATATGGGTGGCACTCAGTAGATGATGTTTTTAAAACTGAACTTCTGCAATTTGCAGTGTTCTGCAGTCTTACTTAATGCCTCAGAGTTAGGATTTCCTAGTTAGAAAATGACTCTGACTTTTAATGCCAGCTACTGGATTGCCATGGCTTTTGAAAAATACATGACTTGGGAGACGTCTCTTTATTCCTAAGTGTTTGCTCTTGACATGTACTCAGGACACAACTTCTGCAAGTTAGGGCCCCTTGGTAGTGGCTCAGCTGCAGCAGCATGAAATGCAAACCAAGCTTGATGAAGCTGAGTCTTGGCCCAACGTCTCCTGCAGTCACTAGACTCTACTTAGATGTAGCACTGGATGATACCATATATTTTTACATTGATCAATGTGTTTTCTAGTATTTTTTTTGCCTTTTTTTCCCCTTGTCCTTGTGTTAACTGTTTCCAGGGATTTGTGGGATAGACGAATTTGATAAGATGGGAAGCCAGCATCAAGCCTTGTTGGAAGCTATGGAACAGCAAAGCATCAGCCTCGCCAAGGCCGGCATCGTGTGCAGCTTGCCTGCCCGGACATCCATCATTGCTGCAGCAAACCCCGTTGGAGGACACTATAACAAAGCCAAAACAGTGTCCGAGAACTTGAAGTGAGCACTTTCTGAAGTGTTTATAACTCACGTTCAGGATTAGGTGGTTCTGGTGGTTTTGTAGGTCGCGTATAATTGCTTTTGTACTTTTCTGGCTTGAACACAATCTTATTGCAATAATTTTTGGTGGCTTTTGAGGGACATACTGCTTTTTTGTGATATTCTCRAGACATGGGACGGGCTTCTCCAAATTTCTTTCAGAGTTGCTGTAGACATCCACTCTTTTACAAGCCACRTGGGTAATGCAGGTTTTCTTACGCCTTTGCTCTAGAATGGGSAGCGCTTTGCTGTCCAGGTTTGACTTGGTGTTTATTTTGCTGGACACKCCAAACGAAGACCACGACCACTTGCTGTCGGAGCACGTGATGGCCCTGCGAGCGGGCAAGCAGGCGGCATGCAGCGGCGCCGTCGTGGCTCGCGCCGGCACCCAGGACCGCTCCGTCCTCGAGGCCGTTCCGGATCGGCCGCTGCTGGAGAGGCTGAAGGTGGGGCTGCTCTTGTGGCTGCTGCCAGCTCCCTCCTGCGGGGCTCTTGGCGCTGGGCCCTGCCAGCTAGCTAGGCCAGGTGTCTTTAATCCCCTCTTTTTCTCATAATTGGCCTTGAAATTAAAAAGGACCCACTTAAGGCCTCACTTTCTGCCAGTTGCCTGTTGTAGCAGCTCCAGCAAGATAGATCACGTTACCTGAAGTTGTAGCTTAAGCCACTTTATCTCTACCCCGGGGAGAATTATCCCCGGCTGGGAATTAGCCTCTGTGCTTTTGAGGAGGGGAGAACAGCAGTGATGGCTTATTCTTCTGTGTGTACATATCTGGTAAACACTGGAAGAGGCTTTTGAAGAAAAAAAAAAATATTTTTCAGTTGTCTTTGGCACTTGACATCATTACAAATGAGAAGCTTCTGCTGCTTTTCCTGAAATAGCCAAATGTGTTTAATTACAGTGTGAAGTATGGTACGTGGAGGTCTTATTTTGTTGTTGTCTTAAAAAGTTCACATACGAATCACTAAGGCCGTTATGGAARAGGTTCACACACACTCAAAATATTTCATCGGGCAGAGCATAGAAGAAATGTTCATGTTAAAATTTATTGCATGGAGTTCTGACATTTGAGATCTAAGGTCTTTGTGACGGGCTTAGATCTCACCAGGAGAAAACTTCGATGCCATTCCCCACCAACTGCTGAGGAAGTACGTGGGATACGCGCGGCAGTACGTTCACCCAGCTCTGTCCCCAGAAGCTGCCAAGGTCCTCCAGGAATTCTACCTGGAGCTCCGCAAACAGAAGCAAGGAGCGGACGGCACRCCCATCACCACGAGGCAGCTGGAGTCGCTGATCCGACTCACAGAGGTAAATTCAACCCCAAGCCAAGGGGTTCGTTCTGCTGCTGGTGTCCTGTGAGTTTGGTCTTGCACACACTGCAGAGTTACTGCTGCTTTACAGCTTCTTATGAGCTATAACACCCTGGAGTGGCTAGTGGAGGGAAGCCATCAATTTCCAACAAAGTGGAGGGAGGGAAAGCAAAGCTGCAGATGAGCTGCTGCATGGCTTGAGCTGAAGCTGTTACATTTTCCTCTAAAGCTCTGCCTGAATCCTTGTGCTCTGCTGGTTTTACAGGGATACACTTAAAGACAAATTGCAAGCTGCTCCTACAGTCTCCTAACACGAGTAGGAAGAAGATACCATTGGAATGTTGGAATGCAGAGGAATATTTCTCTAAATCCTCATTTCCAACTCTGTCCTCTTGAACATTGTGTTTGTTATACCTTTGTGTGTGTTATCATGTTCAGTATGATTAAATGCTTCTTCGCCACCTCCTTTTTTTTTTTTTAAGGCAAGGGCAAGGCTGGAATTAAGGGAGAAATCTACAAAGGAAGATGCTGAAGATGTAATAGAAATAATGAAATACAGGTAATATGCMGTGGTTTTAAAAAACAACGCAACAYACCTAAGATCTGCACACACAGATKAATCTGCTCATTTTTATATGATGTCAGCAGCCCTATGATGCCCTGTGATATGTGTATGTAACTTAGTGTGTCACATGTGTGTATGTGATATGTGTGTTAGTCCAAACTATGAATGTGATAGTTTGGTAGGTCTTTAGCTATGAGTGTCAGTGCACACTATGTTAGAAGGCACTGCCATAAGTGTTTGTTTCTCTTCTGTAATTATTCGCAGTTATTGTGGTTGAGCAATTTAAGGTGAAAAGTGATTTGAACAGATGTTTAGTTCCCTAGATAGCAACTTCATTACTAAAGGAAGAATTTCCAACACAGCTTTTCGATACTTTAAAATCCTGAGCAATTTTATGCTGTGGGGAAGAAMCTCATATGCTTTTCCTTTTGCCTTCTATAGCATGCTAGGAACTTATTCAGATGAGTTTGGAAAACTGGACTTTGAACGCTCACAGCATGGATCTGGGATGAGCAACCGGTCACAAGCAAAAAGATTTGTTTCTGCCCTTAACAATATTGCAGAAAGGACCTACAACAGTCTCTTTGAATTACAGCAACTTCGACAGATTGCAAATGAATTACAAATACGAGTAAGTTGGGGAAATCAGAACGTTTCAGCAAACTGTAATAGAAGTAATCAAAAATATTGGTTACAAAATGCAAAAGGTGTATCTGTTGTGGCACTGAGCAGTGAACAGAAATAAGCGATATAAACTGCTTTTAGTCTGAATGCTTTGCTCATCTTACCAACTGTTTGACAGTAACACTATTCTGCACTAGTAAGGCCTACTTCTGCTTCTGGATCTTGTCCTTATCAAAACCATGCTGTGTTTTATAAAGAACAAGTTTTTAGGATCTCTCTGTGGGAAACATGTTCCTCCTCTTGTGTTTCAGAACTTGGATATATAGATATGTTACTTATTAAACAAAAAGGCTTTTCAAATAAAGTGAGAAATAATGCATCTTACTGTACTTAGAAGTCAGGGGCTTGCTAAGGAAATTAACCTTACTTAGTTACTAGTTTTAGTTTCTGTAGTGATCTTATGCAATTATTTTCATTTGTTTGTTGCTTTACATCTACTCAATTTTATAGTTCCACTCTGATTTTTTTTTTTTTTCTCTCCTCTCTCTAGGTAACTGATTTTGAAAGCTTTATTGGATCTCTAAACGATCAGGGTTATCTCTTGAAAAAGGGTTCAAGAATTTATCAGCTTCAAACGTTGTGAAAAGACCCTCCTTGACAAATTTCCTGACCCATAGCCATAGTATCTGAGGCAGCCTGATGGAAGCACTGCAATAAAATGCATTAAATTGCAGCCTACCACAATACTTGATGCCCTGCCAGCGCAGTTACCCGCTGTGGTTGAAAATTCCCCTTCAGGTACTAAGGCCCGTCAGAGCTTTGCGCAAAACTGTTGCAGGATAAAGTAGGCSCTAGTGCTGCTCCCTGACTTATCCTGAAGGTTTTCCTGCCCAAAGGAGACTGGGTGCCATGTACTCCACTCTTGAATGGTGGAAAGTGTATTCTACTTGGTTCGTTGCAGTGTAATAAGCTGCTTATTTTTCTTTTTCTGCTCCTGAATTTCAAGTAATGTTGTCCCTACCAACGTAAAGATAATGCTTCCATGAGAAGACATGCGAGTTGCCTTTTTAACATAGTTAACTTGAATGTAAAAAGTATAGAAATGCTTCCAAAAAAAAAGAGGGACGATACTGTTATGGTTGTAAAAAGTGACACATTATTGAAAGTGATTTCATTCTGTTCGCAGCTCTGTATAGTTTTTTTTTATAGTTGAGATTTTATTTAAAAGGCTGGTCTAGTAAGAGTTTCCTTCTTTCCTTATAAAGTTGTGTACAACAACTTAGCTTTTATGTCCCTTTTTCATTAAACTTCAATGCCTAATGGATCCAGGAGCATTATACAGTAATAAAATGTACTGTTTATACCAGAATGCTGGTGTGTATGAACATACTCTCTGTGTGTGTGTGTGTGTGTGTGTGTGTGTGTGTGCGCATGTGTGTGTGTTCACCTAGTGCTGTTGTTGCTGCAGAAGGATGTTCCCTAAGAAGAAAGCAGTGAGGGTCCCGCTTTGAAGTCAGCCTCACCGAGTGCAGTAAAAGGGCAAGTGAAAGGGTTTCAGTATGTGTATTAAAATATTTTTCAAGAATGAATTGCTAAGACTTGGTATTTTTTCTCTTCTTATAATTCAGAATTAATGAAAAKGTAGAAAAAGTGTAGCTTTAGTTGTCACTTGTGTGAGATCTGCAGCTTTTTAGGGTGTGAGGCAGCAGATTTTTTGTTGCATTTTCCTGTAAAGCCTGAGATAAATCTGCTTCTGCTTTGGTTAAGATTTGTGTTACTCTACTTTTTTTTTTAAGAAATAGCATCTCTTTCTGTGAGAGAACACAGATAGTGTTTAAGAGGAAGAAGACACAACTCAACCCAGCCTTTAAAAGCCTGACTCTCTCAGCCTGCTCCTGCCCTCCACTTTTAGGGCATCTTGCTTCAGTTCTGCTTTCCTTCTACCTGTAACGTGGCAGGAGCAGTAACCAGTGTGCGTTGGAGCTGTTTGTCTAGAACCTCCTCTGCTGTCAATGAGTAGCTAAATTGGGCCAGGGGCCAGGGTGGGCAAAGGGACTAAATAAATATGAATCCTCCCAGCTGCTGCTTTCCCTTTCRTGCCCTTCCTCCAACAAGCGCCGTCCTTCACTGCTGCCAGCAGCRGGGGCCAGGCCCGTGAGGGAGAAAAATAAAGGAAAAAAGGGGAGAAAAGCGGAGCAGGGGAGAGAAGGGGAGAAAGGACCGCGGCCGCGCTCGAGCGCCCCTCAAGGGCGGTCAGGCGGGGCCCGGGGCCGGCGGCGGCG